GAACTGCTTACATTTCAGATTATATTCTTAAATATAATTCCCTGATACTTTAACTCAGATGAAAATTCTAAAACAAGTTACAGAATAGCAGTCACGGTTTTTATAGGAACAGGCAGTACTGAGTGTCTGAAAATAATTTACAAGCAGGTAGTACTGAAAAGCAATGCCAGGTTTTACTGCAAGTCTTCAAAAATCTCGGGAGCTTTGTACAGAAGGAATATAGGCAAGCCCCAAGCAAATGTAGAAACACTACATTAAGTTATTGAATTCAGTGCAGTAATTTCCCAACAATGTTTTGGAGATACCTTGAAGTGGTAGACGCTATCAGTTTCTGGACATGTGGAGCCTGACTGCTGTCACTAGAGCAAGCCTATTCTTTTCGTTGTGATTCATTTAAACATAGGCTCCTGTAAGTCGCCTTTTTACTAGATGAATATCAGGTTGTTCAGCTACTTCTGCTTGTTCTCAGTTGACTGGCAGTGTCACCTTCCGGACAAGAGGTCCATCCTTCCAGCTACTGTCCATGCATTCAGGACTTGCAAAGACCTAGATTCTTATGTTCTTTGTAGAGTCCAGTAAGCTCTTATGATCTGTTGGAAAAATAACCTCTAGGCCAATGTAGCTAACGCTGGACCAGTTTGACCAGATCCTGAATTTAGGATTTAGTTAAATATTTTGATGAAGCGCAAAATAATTTTATTTAATTGTTCACAGTTGTGGCTACTGTTGTTGTTAACAGAAATAAGTCTTCAGTGCTTCCCAGTAATTAAAGACGTTCTCACTTGTTTTCTTGAAGGTGGGCATTAACTACCAGCCTCCAACTGTGGTGCCAGGTGGCGACCTTGCAAAGGTGCAGAGAGCTGTATGTTTGCTGAGTAATACCACTGCCATTGCTGAAGCATGGGCTCGTCTCGACCATAAATTCGATTTGATGTATGCCAAACGTGCCTTTGTACATTGGTACGTTGGGGAAGGAATGGAGGAAGGAGAATTTTCCGAAGCCCGGGAAGATCTGGCTGTCCTTGAAAAAGATTATGAAGAAGTTGGGATAGACTCTGTAGAAGCAGAGGCTGAAGAAGAGGATGAATACTGAAAATGCCGAAGTAATAAAAAGCGTGTTCTGTAACAGCGACAAATGAATTGCAGAATCCTGTTCGCTTGCTTGCTTGTTTTCAGATGCAGTTTTAAATGTTGTACTGTTCATTTTTTTCTTTGTTACTGTTTACACACACAGTTGCTGCGTAAGAACTGTTTGAAATTACAGTTTTTGGTAGCATCTAGTCTTGCACAACTTAAAGATTAAATTACAAACTTGTGTACGTGTCTGTAACACTGTATTTATCTATTTATCTATTTATCAATTTATCTAACTGTAGTAAGGGTAAGTGCCATTACACTTTTGGTCTGAACTAGAATATTTGCTAAAAGCACCGAACTTGCTACTTAAAAAAATAAAATTAAAAAAAAAAATAAATGGGGAGACTCAGCAGACAAAAGGTAAAATTTTCCAACCAGCGTGCCCCCTTACACTCAGTTCCACCTTAGATAGAAGGAAAATAAAATGTCAGATTACCTGCTTTACAATAGTCATGTTTTGAATTCCTACACTGACCTATGAAATACTTATGTGTCCTTTAATGCACAACTCTGTGGACTCTGTAAGCTTTGATGAATTAATAAAAAATTGGTCTTTTTTTTTTTCACCTGTTCTTACTGTTAGCAGAAAATACAACTTCTATTTGCGGGCAGTTATTTTGTGGTGTGGTTTTTTTGTTTCTGGCTGGTTGGGTGGGTTGGGTTTTGTTTTTCAGAAAAGCCATATGGTTTTCAGTGAAAAGGACTGGATGCAACTGACTGGAGTTAATTAGCAGATGCTTCTCTTCACAGATTGTGTGTTCTTTTTTTTTGTCCAGGGGGCGGGCGGGGCCTCCCGGGGCACGGAGCTGCGCTCGGCGTCCTGCGCCCCGCCCCCGAGGAGCGCCGCGCGCTGCGGAAGGGCGCGCGGAGGCGGAAGGTGGCGAGGCGGAGCGCCGCCGCAGGAAACCTCCGAGCGGTGCCGGTGTTCGGCGGCCATGGTGCGGCTTTACGACTTGCACCCGTTCGGGTCGCAGAGAGTAGTGCCCTGCAAGCAGGAGCCGGCGCAGTTCTGCCGCGGCCGCGACGTGCTGTTCGTGGCCAGCGCGGCGGCCAGCTGCGGGGTGGAGGTGTTCGCCGTACGCCGCGAGGGCCGCTGCGAGCCCTTGGGCTCCTTCGCCACCCTGGGCCCCGTGCTGCGCATGGCGCACAGCCGTGCAGGTCAGTGCCGGGCGCGCGGGGCCGAAGTTCCTCAGGGCGGGGGCGGGTGGCCTGTGCGAGCGCGGAGCCCGGAGCTGCTGCCCGGCCGGGGCGTCTCCTCTGAGAAGAGCGCTGCTCTTACAGTGGGCCCACGTCGAGGTAGCGTCGGAGCTCTGGAGCCGTGTGTTTTCCTTTAACAGCACGTGAAGTGCGTTTACCTAGCGAATTAATTTGCGCTCGAGATCTCTCATTAAAGAAAACCCGGTAAAGGCTGTACTCCGGAACGCTATGTGAGGGCTGAGAATTTAAGATACTTTTTGTAATGTATTTTATTGGGTTCGCAGGTAAGCAGCTCAAACGCTGTCGTGTGTTCTTTAACGACTTAACAGTCCTTCTGCTTTCCCTTAAGGAGACTATTTGGTGACGATTGAAGAGAAAAGCAAAGCAACTTTCCTAAGAGCTTATGTGAAGTGGCGATGCGTGTCTGCAGGCAGTTCTCGTTTTTGTGTCCGGATGGTGGGTCACAAGATGGAGGAGTCGTACACCGAAACCTTAAAAGAGCAGATGTCGATAGTGGAAATGGCACTTTCAGATCCTCCGCTGTGTATTTCATGTTGTCCTGTAAATGGAGATCTTCTTGTGGGCTGCAGGAATAAGCTAGTCATGTTCTGTTTGAAATACCTGGTCATAAACCAGAATTTGACAGTATTGGACTTTGAACGCTCCTTAATTTTACACACTGATAACTTCATTCCTGCCGAAGTTGCATTTTGCGCTAGGCACATAGCGATAACAACAGAGTTGGATGTTCTAATCCTGAAACTGGACCTGATCCAGCATAGTGAAGACAGGGGAGAGCAATGCGCATATCAAGTTAGTACAACAGAAAAGCTGGTGGATGGAGGTAAGTACAGATATTGAACTTTTTCAGACTGAGAATCTGCTGATTACTGTCATTCATAAAGAAGGCTCAAACGTGATGTCTTTACATACTGCCTGCTTGCAATGTGTGGGAATTAACCTGATTAGCTCCCACCTAAAAATCAGATCAACAGCAGAAAGCTCTTAGAAAATCTTTCATTTATAATTTAAGAAATTTTAAAAGGTTTGTGCTTCTTGAAATGGAAACTACACCTTAAAAAAAAAAAAAAGAAAAAAAAGAGGTCAATAAAATTTCAGATGGGAAAGATATCAAATGGAGTTTTCTTCATTGGTGGACAATGGATTTTAGCGCAGACAACTCACACTGGGTTGTTTTCAATACTTAAAGCCAAATAGAAAAGTTCAGAACATTTTTGGGTGCAATTAGGATTTGTTTTCTGGAACTTAGGTGTGTTGAAGATCACACAACCTTGTATCATAGCCACCTTTTTCTTTCTGAAAACCTTTTCAACCAAATGACAACATTTTTTTTATTTGTTATTTGGCTGTTTACGGCACAGGTTGCTTTGGATTTGCCTTATACTGAGCAGCTTGCCTTTTAATAGAGTCACAAAATGGGTGGTTTGGTAGGGACCTCAGAGTCCGTCCAGTTCCAACCCCTGCTGTGGGCAGGGGCACCTCCCGTAGACAAGGTGCCCAAACCCATCCAGCCTGGCCCTGACTGCCCCCAGGGATAGGGCACCTACAGCTGCCCTGGGCAGCAGTGCCATGCCCTCGCTGCCCTCTGAGCGAAGAATTTCTTTCTTATATCCGATGTAACTCTGCTCTGTCTCGGTTTAAAGCCATTACACCACGTCACGTCTCTCCACGTGCATGGAAAAAGTCTCTTCATCTTTTTCATAAGCCCTGTTTAGCTATTGGAAGGCCACGATCATTTTTCCCCGGAGCCTTCTCCAGCAACCCCGGCTGTCAGCCTGTCCCTGCAGCAGAGGCACTCAGCCTCTGGGCATCCCTGCGGGCTCCTGTGTCCCCACTCCTACAGGCCTGTGTTCCTGTGCTGGGGCCCGGAGCTGAATGTAGCTCTGTGAAGGACTGGGGGAGCAGAGGGTGAGAACCACCTCCTTTGCCCTGCTGGCTTCATTTCTGAGGCAGCCCAGGATATGGTTTATGTGAAAAGTCGATTGTTCTTGTTTTCTAGTGTAGCTCGTCTCAAAACGTCATAGTTTGTGGAAGCCAATGCTAATTAGTTTCCTGTGGTTGAAGTTTTTAGTCGATATTGTATCAGTGTCAGTGTTTTCTTATTGCTAAATGGAATTGTTTGAACACTTTGATACATTTCCATTGTTTAGGTATAAAAGATGAAGACCTTGCAGCTCATAGTTTGCAGCTTGAATTAGATGAGTTTGTCACATGTCAGAAGCCAGTGGAACTGCTTGGGGAAGAAAGTAAGCTTTGTAAGATACCCATCACACTTGAGTCCACAGAGTTGTCTACAGAAGGCAAAAAGCGCTTTCAAGTGCAGTATCTCCTTTTCCGGTATTACAAATGCATTTTCCCCTGCAAGGCTTAACTGCTATGTTAGTAATTCCATGTAACCAAAATGAGCTCACATCTTGCTGAAAGGAAAATCCTGGTATTTTGGCTTCTGGGATGTTTGTGTGCTGTGTATTTTTTATGTTGTTGCTTTTTTTTTTTTTTTTTTTGTCTGCTGAGAAGATAACTGTGATGCAAATGAAGATCCTTACTTGGCCTTGCGAATCCTAAGCTTTATTTAATGTTGTGAAAGTGGCTAGTTAGCACAGTTAAATGCGATTTAACTGGTGATTTTGCAGTATTGGTGATGTTTAATACCGGTTTTCATTGTACATCCTCGTATTCCATGAAGGGCGCACATGACAGCTTCGCTTGTGATGTATCAGGAGGGATGGTATTTTCTCAGCATACTGGATGACAAAATCGTTTAGATTGGAAGGGACTTGCTGAGTCCCTCTCCTTAACATCTCCTTGCTTGGGCAGGATCAGCTGGACTAGGCTTTCCAGGACTCGATCCAGCTGAGTTTGAGTAGCTCCTTACTGGGCAGCCTTTTCCAGCATTTGGCCACCCACAGTTCTTATACTTTCATGCCAAACTAGCAGAGCAGTTTTACACACCTTATTCTGGAGTAACTTGTGTGCAATTTTCTTAATATTTACAACAAGCCTACTACAAAACGTGACAGTCAGAAATAATCACCAGTCCTGACAGCGATCAAGGCACTGCCTTCTGCTTGTTTGTTCTGTGGGGTTCAACTCCAGCTGAAGCGATGGTTACTGAAGTACTTTTTACCAAAAAAAAAAGTTCTCCCTTTGTGCAGCTGGGAACGGGGAGTTTACTAAGTATCTTCAGCCCTAAAAAACAACACCTTTGGTTTTGTTAGTAATCAAATCCTTTAAACTTTTATCTAAAACTGTTGAAGCATTGGTATTGCAGTCCAGCTGTGAATTCCAAAGCAAAGCAAGGAAAAGGATGAGATGCAATAGGAAAGAAAAGTAGGACTGAGGGCTGTGCCATGTTACGTTGTGTTCAGTTGAAGAAGGGATGGGGAAAAAAAAGAAGTTAAATAATGGTTCAGATCCATTTTAGTGTGTGTTCAGCACTGTCATGGCTTTACCATTTTTGTTATCGGTACTCCACATCATAACATCATGAAAAGCACCGGGAGTTAAGGAGTTAATGCCCCATTTCTGTGGACTGCTAATTTTCCAGGTACCCGATTCTCAGAAGAGAAGAACTGCATACCCCAGAGGACTTTGCATTCAGAGGGGGAGATAAAACTCCTTGCAGGTCACGGGACTGGTCTCTTTTTTTTTTTTGTGCTGCCTGGCGGCGTGTGTGGCTTGCTCCCCAGCCATTTCGCTTTCAATTCGATTTCAATAAGGCCTTTGGTTTTGGACACTCTCTCTGTCTCATTTTATTTGATTTATTAGCCTCGGTTCTAATTATACATTGTATTATATTGTGTTATCTCGCATTCCAATATCAAATGTAGTAAATTAACCTTCCTCCTCAGATTGTTGCCACTGTTCATTTGTAGGCCCGTCTCCCTACCCTTCCCCCTTTTCCCTTTCTTAAGGTGTGGGTCTCTGGGTCCCCAGCCCCATTAGTCGCAGAATTGGGCTGAAACGGCCCAAAACCATTGACACTCCCCTCCTCTTTTCTGGGCCTGTGGGCCTGTCTCCTCCTGTCATGGACACAGATCTAGAGATAACTCCGTGACATTCATCAGATCCCAGCATTGAATGCATGACTTGTGGAGGAGCAAAGAAAGGATTTTTGGTTGCAAAAACTTGAGGTAGTTGCCTCTAGCTGTGCTACGTGTTTCTTGGCCTTGCTAAGATATCTGTATGAGCAATAGGAATGAAGGATAGTTGAGTATAAAAACATCAACTCTGGGTGTTACAGCTGTTGCTGTTTACTTGCTTGGAGTAGACGATAGCTTCTTACTGACTTCCCATGTTGTGTTTTTTCCCTCCAGGCATTTTACACCAGACCAGTCCCCTTTTGGCTTTTGTGAAGAGACGAAGCTGCACTCTGTTCAGTTCCTCCCTGTTCACCAGACAGGTAAGCGCACATGTGGGGGAGCAGTATGAGTTAAAATACCAGTTAGCAACGCTGAAGGAGGAAGTCTATTCAAAGACTACTCTCAGTGGTTCTCAGTGACTAATTTTGTATCACGAAAGAGACACTTTTTATGTCGCATAAGTAAAGTTATCCTCAGTGTTATTGTATGATATTAGGATGCCTCTCAGAGTTAATAGCAGACATCAGAGAAGTAAATCTTAATATTAAGGTACAGGTTATCTCTATTTCAAGCTTTAAAATAGAAGGGAGTGAAAACTAATTTTAGGGGTTGACTAAGATGCACTCACTCAAGCCTCAACATAACCATGGAAAAATGCTTTATATCAGATCGTCTTTCCTGCTCACCCAGTTTCTAGTTTTCTGGTAGCAAAGCCATATTTAAGCTGCAGGTGACTGAAATGAAGAAGCTACTTCACAGAATGGTCAGGGTCAGAAGGGACCTCAAGGATCACAAATCTCCAACCCCCCTGCCACGTGCAGGGCCACCAACCTCCCCATTTCATACCAGACCAAGCTGCCCAGGGCCCCATCCAACCTGGCCTTGAGCACCTCCAGGGATGGATGGGGCATTCGCAGTCTGTCTGGGCAGCTTCTCCAGCACCTCACCACTCTCACAGTAAAGAATTTCCCCCTGACATCCAACCCTACATTTTCCCTCCCTCGACTTCAAACCACTTCCCCTTGTCCTGCAGTTATCTACCCTTTCCAAGAGTTGATACTTGTTATTCAACTCCAGCTAACTTTTCCCTTGTGATTTATAGACTTCAACAAGAAAGTCTGTAGAATCTGAACACAGGCTTTGCCTACCTAAGAATGATCAGGCTGCTCATTCCATTCATGGACATTTAGTTCTAATGACTCTGCCTGGAATTATAGAATCATAGAATTGCTTGAGTTGGAAGGGACACTTAAAAGTCATTTGGTCCAACTCCCCTGCAGTGAATGGAGATGCCCACAGGTTGATCAGGTGCTTACAGCCCCATCCAGCCTTACCTTGCACGTCTGCAGGGACAGGGCACCTCTCTGGCCAGCCTGTGTCAGTACCTCACCAACCTTACTGTAAAAACTTCTTTGTATCTCATCTAGATCTCCCCGCTTTTTCCCAGTTTCTTTTTTCCCAGTTTCCATGTGCTGTTCGATCTATGGAAATTCTTCACTTGTGAGTACATCCATGCTTCTGTTGTAAATTACTTCCGATGAGATAACAAATTGATTGTTACCTGCTGATATGCTGTTGTTCATATTCTTTTCAATAGCTACTAATAAAACTGGTCTGGAACTTGGGCACGTCTGAGAGTGTAGTTTAGGCATCAGGTCACAAAGAAACAGAATGGTTTTGATTTATGAAGTATATGAGATGCCTTTTTTATTGTTATGTCTAGGGAGTTCTATGACAGCAAAAGAGGAAACTGAGAAGAGAGGACTACTGAGTCTCTTCTGCTTTTTTTCTTTGCCTCATGTTGGATATCTCTACTCTGTTGGGAAGTTAGTAGAACTGATTTCTACTTACCAGTACTCGGAGAGGTCAGAGCAGGCAGTTCTTACTCCACAGTTCCTGCATGTCATTACAAGGTAACTTTCTTATTTTTTTTTTTTTTAATATATTTTCCTCTTTGGCTCATTTATGAGTCCTTCGCAGCCTCTTCGGTCATTCTGGGTGGATTAATGTTTTAGTGCAGAATGCCCATCTGTCTGCATCACAGAGCTGATTCTGTCTAGTTTTTGTGCTGGATTAATTCAAGTTTTCTTTTTTTTTTCTTCATCAGTTTTTCTTTCCTCTTTGTGAGAGCCTGCAGTGTTACACAGTGCGGTGCAGTGCAGCAGCAGCTCGCGATGAAGATCCATGCATTGATACAACTGTGAAGGTGCATATCTCATATTTTTTCTAAAAGAATGGAGAAGCAATATGGCAGTTGTGTTTCATACTGAAATTCCATTTGTTTCTATTCGCTATGACAAATAACATCCAAAATTAATATTTTACATCAGCCTGTGGCATATTCTAATTTAATGGTCTGCAGGTGTATCGCTGCAATCTATTATTGCTGTTTAAGATTCTAGAGGATTAATAGAATATTTTAAAAACCTGTAAAATCATGTACACTTAGAACAAAAATCATACTCTCCTGTATAAATCTGAATGGAGGGAGCAGAGATTTCCCATATTGCGGCTGACGATGTTTGCAGAACCGGCCTGTCTTGAAACTTAAACTTTGGTCTTTTCTCTCTTTCTTCTTTTTTATTTTTGTTCCCTTTCTCGGGTGTCTTTGAACTGGCAGTTTTCTTAAGAGGAGTGTAAACATTTGAACATGTCTGCCTACCTGATAATGTGTTGGTTTTTGTGTTGGTTCTTTTTTTTTTTTTTTTGAAGAGGAGGGCTTTTAATCATCGAAGTTCTAGATTTTGCCCCTTCCTCAGTTTGCTTTGCTGTAAAAATCTGCTCGATTACAGAAATTGGAACAAATGTTAATAAAAATACCAGAGCAGTTGAGAATGAAGAGTATTTTAAGCTGACCTTCATGGATTTTATTTGAGCATGTAGACAGCAGACATAAGGAAACCACAGAGCAGTTGTATTACAGAAATTTCAAGAGCCAAACATTCTCTGACCTCCATTTTCAAACACATGAAAGAACCTGTCCCTTTCTCAGACTCAGGTCTGCATGTGTTTCCAGAGCTTATGTTCAGTCCCTCACAATTCCTTCAGCCTGGCAACAGGCAGCCTCAGGAGGCTGAGAAAATGTGCACGTAATGGAAGCCTGCAGCCCTTGTGGTTGTCCACACCACAGCTTGCCTGGCAAAGGGTCTTCCAGGGGCTGCAGTCCCTTAGGGGCATCCCTGTCCTGGTGTGAATTTCTTCAAAAAGCAGGGTACATGTAAAACACGACGCTGTCTCTCCTTGCTGCACTGTGCATGTTAATTTGTAAATATTTATCTCAAATAAAAAAAAACCCTAACCCTAACCCTAACTGGTGGTCCTTTAAAGTCAGGCAGTTGAAGACCCAGCCAATGTGCTAGAGTAAAAGTGTTCAGGTACTTTCTTACATCGTATCTTAGCAGACACTTGTATTTAGATGCAGGGGCAGAAGTGTGGTAAATCTTTACAAAAAGAGTGAGCATCTTAATTAATTTCAGTTACTCAGCTTGTAAGCTTCTTATGTATTGGTTTCTAACCATTGTATGTATTGGTTTCTAACCATTCTGTATGAAAGTGCCTATTTATCCTTAGCCATTAATTGTGATTTGAATTTATAATTTAACTGCCAAGTGTTTACTAGCCTGCAAACATATCTGTTTATGGATTTGTCATATGATTGATTTATTTTCTTTTGGCTGCATAGTGTTTATTTAAACATTGACAACTCAAATCTTTTCCTTTTCTCTAGTTCCAGAAAGGCTGATAACAACAGATCCAGAACCATTTCTGAGTTGGAGCCTGGCTGGAATTTGTATATTATAAACACTGTTTCAACCATCCAACTTTACAGAGAAATGGTATTGCTACCTCCTGCTTTTGGTTTTGATTGACTGAAAATAAGTACTATTAATCTCTGTGCTGAGTATACAGTAATGTATTTCTTGTGAATAGCCCATAATCCTATTTCAAATGGCTGCTGCCCTCTCAAGAATTCTTCCTGTGCATTGTTTTTACCAGTACCCTAAGTATATCCTGTGTCTGTTCTAGGTAGATTATAGTAGAACTTATGAAAATGTAAGAACTGAGAGTTGCATCCATCTCCTAAGCAAGGCTCACTTACTAGTCAGAGCAGCAATAATGGACCCTAGTTTCTTTAAATCAGATGACAAAGAAGAACTTCTGAGAGCATTCAGAGAAAGTTGTGCCTTCTTAGGAGACTGCTACAGCAGGTATGTTTTAGATGTCAGATGACATAGATGAGCTCTTGTTTCCAGTAATCTAGCCTAAAAATAAAAGTCCATCGTTCTTTGCTACTGTACATTGGTATTGTGCGTAGATTTCATGTTTCTCTGCAGTTTAATCTGGTCCTCTGTGCCGTATCTATTGTTTTTATTGTCAATCTGACACAGAATACAATGTCACCTTGAGTAATAGCATGTGCTTGCAGATACTGGTGTGTCTACAACTGTTAGGTGTTACTTTAGTTCTTACCAACAGCATCAGAAGTGTCCCTTTACTTACTCTTTTTCACTTCCCGTCTGTTGCTTTCAGGTTTGACACAAAGGATTACCACCTGGCTTTGCCATACTACCGAATGTCAGGTTTGTCTGTGGCTGAAGTTTTGGAGCGGCTAGCTTCAGAAAGTGATGAAATACAGACCTATGAAAGAGGATTAATATTTTATTTAACTCACTCTCTTAATGAAGAATTAAATGAAGAATTAAGCAAGGTAAAAACAAGTGTGGTTTTTTTTTTTTTTTTTTTTAATCTGTTGATCTAGTTCTGATTTTAAGAACGATATATGAAATTTTAATTACAATTTCTATTGATATACTGCACTGCTTTCTAAGTTTTACAATTATTGTTTTTCACATGGTTTTTATTTTCTCATTTTAACAAAATAGCAAGCAACAGCTGCAATGCTATCACGAAACATAAGGATCTGGCTGTCATGATGCATGTTACTAATGTACACAGATACTTCCATGCTAGGAAAGTTCTGTCTCAGATTTCTTTCGTTCCTCTTTTCTGCAACACTACAAACTGTTTTTTGATCATGGACAGATTGTACTGGCTGGTAAAACTGACTCAGTGTGGTGGATGGTTCTAGCTCTTCACAGTTTCACTCTTGGCTCGTTTAATTTCACTGACAGGGAGGAAAGGCAGGAAAAGCACTGTGATTTCGTAGCTAAGCTGTATTTGCTTCTATCTTAAGCCATAAGAGTCTGTGTATTTGGAAATGGCCAGATTGGATGGGGCTTTGGGCAGCCTGGTATAGTATGAAATGGGGAGGTTGGTAGCCCTGCATGTGGCAGGGAGGTTGGAGATTCGTGATCCTTGAGGTCCCTTCCAATCCTGTTCCAATCCAATCATTCAGTGATTGTGTGATTCTGTGAAATATTGAAACTATAAAATGGCTTTTTTTTTTTTTTTTAATAGGAATTGGCAGATAAAGTTCTCCGAATATTCTATCTTGCTGACCCTACGCAGCTGCCTCATATCATCTGCAGTCCCTGCATGAAGAATGTATGTCCTCTGACAGCTGTGAAGTATCTTTGTGAAGTGGAAGACATTATGCCATCAGTGGTCCTTATGCTTACTAAGGCTTTCATGGCTCTGAAAATGGGAGACCTTACAATGTACGAATGTGAGATGAACTCCCACAAGGAGGTAAGGTATACCAAGAGCATGAATTATCCACTTTTTGTAAATCCCAGGTCGATGGGTTGTCTTGTGGTTGTATTTTACAGTAAAATAACCTTCAGTTGCTTCTCTTTCTCCTCATTTTCTGTGTAGGTTCCACTTGAACATCTGCATTAACAGTAGGATCCAGGGCTGATATACAGTGGGATGGTGCTGTCTTTGCAAAGCCTTATCAATAAACAAAGGATTTGAAGATATTAATTCTTACAAATGAAATGCAGTATACTGGAGCTTAGCAGAGTCAGTGCTCTTCACCATTATGGCAGGGTTGTGTGGTAGCATTTTTCTGCCTCTCCATCTGTAATCAATACATGCAGTGTGCCCACAAAAGCTTACCTTCTGTATGCAAACAACCCTTATAAAATTGCCTTACGCAGTGCATACAAGCCAAAGTTTCTGTATGCAGTCTCCCTACACAATTTCTAATCTTCTCTTAAATTAAAGCACTCAGTTGTTACTGTCTAGATCAGAACCTACTTCAGTGCTATCAAAGTAAGAATTCCATGTTAACAGGGGAAAAAATGTTAGTAAATCAGTCATAGATGTTCATATGTGGATTTAGACTGAGACCAGTCGGTAAATTGCTGCTTCTTAAGGCTGATCAGGAGTGTTGAATAGTCAAAGGTTACAGAGCTTGTGGCGTGGGCTTTTCCTGAGAGAGAGCTGATATCCCAGAATTAGGTGTCAAGCTTCAGAAGTAAAAGCTTTGGGTAGCTTTGAGTTAGCAGCTTTTTGAAATACCGGGTGGGAACTGTGGAATGCTGTTTCAACAGTGTTGTGTAGGATCTCTCACCTGCTTTCCAACCATTTGCAGCAAGGTGAGGTGAAATTGCCATGTTACAAAGAAGCTGAAAAAATACACATTCACAGAATGGTTGAGTTTGGAAAGGACCTCTGGATATCATCTGGCTCAAACGGTCCAGCTCACCCTCTCTTCCATTGCATGGATGCTATATAAATGAGAATCAAGTGTTTAGTGTTTTAGTTGTGGAGTTCTGGTTTTAATTTGACTACTACAAAAACAACTCAACTTTAAAAATCATTTCATTGTTCAGTATTAAAAACAGTGCTTCCAGAAAGATGAAGGAAAGATAATTTCTACAAGTAGAGGTCTAGAAGTCTGAATTTTCTTCCTAGGTCTTTATATTTCTTATGTAAATTGTTTAGTTTGTACAGACATCATTTCTCCACTGTTGTTAAAGTGGAAATAGTATGTTGTCACATTACCTTCAAAAGCACTTTGAGTTGGATATTGTGCAGCTTGTTTTGATCATTGTTTCAAAGGTGTTTAGAAAAGTATTTCACTGACATTCTAGTCAGTGAATTTTCACAACACCTTCTTTGTTTACTGGCTAGTAAACACATAGTAAAATCTATGTCACGTGTACAGTAACTGCAGGTTTCATCAGAATGTTTCTTTCACTGTTCAGATAAATGGCATGGTGTTCTCAAGTCACTGACCCAACACGCAGTTTGGACCTGGATCTTTGGAGAACTATTTTTTAAATTGTAGAAAATACTTATTTCTCTTGACTTCATTTCATTTGCCTGTATAAGCTTGACTGGCTGAGAAATACTGACTTCACTGAGTTGAACTGTGCATGGATTGAGTTATTTGTTTAAGTTATATCTGATTGTTTATAGACAATGCTGGCCTGTGGCTTCATTGGGCAACCAAAACTCCTGAGAGAGTGTAACGAAGGAATTGTTATTCCAACTGAATTTGCTGTTCACCTGAAGGTGATGCAACCTGGATTACTGGTGGCTGCCACTGTGGCTTTACATGAGAACAGTAAAATCGAGCTGGAAGAAGCAGATATGTTTTTCAAGGTTGGCATATGATAATTTTTTCCTTCTTTTCTCCACATAACTGATTTTATGGGTGAGCAAAGTGGGCTTGGTTGCTCCTTCACTCACATTTTAGCACTTCTTTTGAAAGAGGCAGATGAGGATTGCTACACTGCATTGCAGAGAGATGGCTATGAAATCAGAAGTCAGTCTTTTTGGAAAGAAGAATGGAGAAAAGAAAAAAAAAATTCAATTAGTTGTTAAGTTCTTTGTTTTGATCCTGTCACTTGAATGCATAATTTAATCTCAGAGCTTTTCTGACCTTTTCTGGTCACTGAAGTTCGCTGTGTTTGTGAGTAGACAAAATATTTTTTCCTTTATTCTACAGTGTAATGTTGTTTGGATTAAAACCATGTACACTTAAATATAAGTATGCTGTGGACTAATGTCTGTTACTGTGAAAGACATGACAAAAAGACGTGAAGCTCACATTAGAACAAATACTCTTTTTCAAAGCCAGCTGTAAACCAGGTAAAGGTCCTTTTCACCAAGCAACCAGACCTTAAGCCCAGGAGCATCTCCCTTGTGGTCCTACTATTGCACTCAGCTGAGATGCACAGCGTTTCCTTATCACGGCCTTTGCTTGCATTAAGATTCCTCTTCAGAAGACTAGGCTAAGCTATTGACATATATAAAAGCCTCCAAATTAGCAGTCAATAAATATTTGCTGACAGTCTGCTGACCGTTCTGACAGTGGAAGAAATCAAATCTATGTTAAAAAAATTCTATGAACTTCTGTCTTTTTCTAGCATTGTATTATGTAGCATCGCACCCTTGAGAAATACCGAGTCAGAAAGGTGCTAAAATCCTGCCTCTATTAAGTGAAAATCTGTTCCTGTTGTTTCTTCTGATTTCTGCTACTAACAATTGCTACGTTCTGCACTAACTTGTCATTTTCTAATGTTTTTGTTCCTAGATGTTATGTAATAATGGTGAAGACATGGTTCCTCAACTTTTGGTAGATTTCTGGGAAGCTCTTCTTGTAGCATGCTCTCAGGAAGAAGTACTTCAGGAGCTCTTATTGAGGGTTACTTATCAGTATGTTTGGAGGATATCAAAGAAGCAACTCCCTGAGACTAAACCACTGAAAACAACTGAGGATCTGGTAACTCAGAAGTTTTATGACTGTACTGTCCATCTAAAGCTGTCCAATTACTTAGTATTTGGATGGTGGACAATTTGGAGTAGAAATGCTGAGTCATGGCCTGAACCAGTGATGGAGCACCTGGTGGGAGGCAGGGCCAGCCCAGGGGAGCTCAGGTGAATGCAGTGTACCTGGTTGATGGAAGGGGTGGAGCAAGGATCCATCCCTTTCCAGACCTCATTTAAGGGTTGGTAGTGGAGGTGAGGGAATCTTGCAGAGGTCTTCCAAAAGGTAAGAAGCTTTTTGCTCTGTTTCTGTGCCCACAGCTGCTGTATTTGGGCTTGTCTTCATTTGCTGCTGTCAAAGGCTTTGCCATCCTGCTGATATGACTGTGCTTTCCATCACATTATAGCGTTGCAGCCTCTTAAAAGAAACATGCCTGAGAGTAAATAATGTAGTGTCTGCTTACCAGACAGGTTTTGCTGGTTTTGGAGAGTCTTGTTCTTTAAGGATATTTTAAAATACACTCAACAGGAGTGTCACGGTTCTGGATATTTCAGATCAAGGCTAGAATGAAACAGAATTTTCCAGGTGGTTTTTTTTTTTCTGTAACAAACAAAAATTTTGCAAAACCGATAAAATGAGGAAATACCAGGGTGATGAATTGTAAGATACTTTGAATGAAAAATCTGAAATACAGAAATAAATAGAAGTTTCAAGCTGATTTATTTTTTAATTCTATGAATTAGAGGAAATAATAGGTGCTATTTGAGAACAAAATTTTCTGTGCTTGTGGGGAGTGGGACGGTTGATGTGGAACTGTCACTAATAAAAATACTTCTTTTTATTACAACTTCTATATTGCTTTTGTAGATAAACTCCTGTGATCATTTTGGGTCCATTTTCCCATGGGTTACTTTCATAATGTCAATGGAATCTCCACTTGATAAAGATTGTCCTGAAGATATTTCAAAGCTACAGGTATGAAATCCCCAAACCTTGCTATTCACAGCTCAAATCTGTTCTGCAGATGTTCATGCATGTGTTAACAACTTTTTCTAGCAGCCTGCCCCCCCTCAATTTATCCAAGTTGAACTAAAAGACCCCTTAAATCATGAAAGAAAAAAACAATGACGTGACACATCAACAACAATGATACTTACCTTTGCTATTAACTGTGTACTCAGCTTTCTCAGTTCTTAATAATGTCTATTAGAATAAATATTACTTTATAAGTATTGTAAGTAAGGTTGCTCTAAGTTTATGGTTAGCGGTGTTTTGCAGAACTCGCGTTAAATCCAAACAGTCTTTGTTGTTGTTGTTGTTTAGTCCATTTTATGTGGTCAGTCAATAGATACAACTGCAGCTCTGCCTATCCTGGAGCCTCTGGCAGAGGCTGGCAATGTTGGCCTCACCGTTCGTGTTCTCTGCAGTACCCGTCTGGGCAAGCACGAGGAGTCCATTGACCAGCTCCTCAGACAGTGTCCTGCTGCTGCTGTGTTGTACGCTCAGCATGAGCTGAAAGATGACAGTCGGGTGAGCAATTTGGGTTAAAGTCTTCTGGATTTTGGCTTGTTTATTTTCCCTAGTTAAAATGCTTATTGCAGATGGATCAGATAGCCCAGCCCTGCCACTACTGTTCTCAAGACCAAATTTGTGCTTTATTTTTAAATCTGAAGATGGTTTCTGTGGTTGTAACAAGTATGAAAACAGAGTTGGAGGCACAACTAAATCAGAATATAGTGGAATAAAAAAGTTATTGTGTTTATAAAAGATATCTATCACTCGTAATATCACTCGTTGCTTTGCATGGAGCTGGGTGGAACAAGAACAAAAAAATACCCCTTGCAAATCCTTTTCTCTGTAGAGGCACCTCTGGGGGCACTGTTGAGGTATTTGTTGAATATGAGAAGACGATATTGAAAACTGGATGTATGTGTGCAAAACTACTGCGTTTCAAAGCATCGTATAAGTCAGCCTACCTGTATCTGCACTCACCTAATTCTTGGTGTATTTTTAGCACTTTCTTTCGCACTCTTAACTGCAGTCATTGTTAATTTACGGTTTTGCTATGGGTTTTTATGAACTAGGCTGTATTGTGGAACAAGCTGCTCCCAGAACTTTGTGAGAGAACCAGACTTACCAGAAGTGACTGTCCTGTTCTTATTTCATCACTAAAAGGTAAATCAATTGATCAGAGCTCAACTCCAGAAGCCTCTGTATAGCATCCAACATTCTAAGTATTGTTCTAAGGAATACTGATGTGATGTTTGGAAAAAAGGGAGCTAGTTTTCCATTGTTAAAGCTTATAGAGCTCAGCAGGCTGTCTCATAATCAGAATAGCATTCTGCAACATCCTCAAGAAAATGATGTCATTCAGTTTATACTGAAAACAATTCATTTTGGGAATCATTACTTCTACACTGATCAAGAATAGACGCAGTTTAAGGAAGTTGATCGTTAAAGTAAGGGATACGGATTGTACTTTCTGTCTAGAATAAGTGACTTTATGGTTCTAAGCAATGGCAGCTAACAGGCTACTGTTGATAACCCAGTGGGCAGTTAAGTGTGTATTCATGGTTAGGTTACAGACTGTAAAAGATACAGTGTGTTACTGATGGTTGGTCATATTAAGCAGAATGAAACATCTGAGTTCATTTGGCAGGGTGGTAGGATTACTGCTTTTTGGTTAGCAGAAATAAAGAAGTGGTGAAACTAACTGTAGTGACTGATGGAGTCCAGTTGCATATGTGTAAGAAGTCAATAACACTGCACCATTGAGGGGCAAGTGCATTGAATTTTGGCAGAATAAGAAGGTAGATTAAGAAAAATAGGCGTGTTAAATAAAACAGAAGTGTGTGCTTCGTGAGAGGAGAACAGATTCCCTGGCTGGACTGTGCAGCACAAGTTGCCATACTAGCAGATTGTTTTGTTTTCATGTGACAACTGTGCTACAAGCATTTAAGATCTTATTTAACAGCTTCATCTCAGAAGCTGCTTGAAAAACATCTGATTTCACAAATAATTTGGAATTAGGATACTAATTGAGAAGACAGCAAATGGAGAAGAGCCCTGGCAATGAAGCATGTGAAGTACTAGATTACTATTCTGTAAGCATTAGTGTCATATGTAAGTGTGATGAGTTGGTGTGGTTTTAATCTAGGATGTAATTTCAGTTTACGGCTGAGATTTCCCATAACAGTGTAAGTTCCCAAATAGACATGTCTCAGATTTTATTTCAGTTAAAATATTTAGATCACTTGATGATGAGTTAATAGTGACATTGTGCATGTTCTTTTTGTTCCTGGAACTAACCGCAGTACACCAAATAAGATTTTCTCCTCTGCTTTTGGCAGAAATCCTATCAGTAGTTGCAATGGAACTGGAACTATGGGATTTCCTTAGTCTTCTACCAGAAGATGGAACTGCACCATTTTTCCTGCCACATCTTCTTCACTGTAGCCAAAGGAAACAACTGATGTAGACACAATGAAAGTAAGCCTATGCGTTCACATACCAGGAATGTGCTGGAATAAAAAAAGAACATGAAGGAGTAGTATGTAAGAAACAGCTCTGTGCATCCGCCTACACATAAATCACCTTCTTTTT